CAAAGTATTCCAAAAAATGTTCTGAAGTATTTCGATTTCTTTGATTTTAAAACCATTTTTGATGATAATCCTACTGTACAAAAAAGTGTGTGTGATTCGTCATATAAATTAGTCATCCCTTATTACACATTTGCAAAAAAAAGACTCACTTTACAAAAGCACAGAATCAAGTTGTTGAGATCGTCCTGCGAGAGGTCTGACTGATTTTCGAGAACATCCAAATCGGGGCAATTCGGAATTGGCGATGATCCAGCTGATTCTACATTTGAATAGAGAAGAAACGATAGAAAAAGACAAATGACGACATCCGAATGTCGTCGTCGCATTTTTTTTGTGGCCTGTAAAACAGCTGGGGGTGGAAGAGAAGAGGAGAGATAGAGAGACGGAGAGATTGAAGGAAATCTGACCGTATAGCTGGAGGGGGCCTTATTTTCAGATTATATGTTTTTGTAGAGAATTTCAAGATCTACATTTATCAATTTAAATCATTCAAAAATGTAAGGTTTGAAGAAAGTTATAACTCTTTGCTACACTGAAGCTTTAAAATTTTAATGACAACTTTTAAAGGGGTCTCATCATAATCCGAATTTTTGAAATCTTTATGTATTATAAAACATTTTGTAGAGAATTTCAAGATTGAAAGTTTGCAATTCATACAACTTCAAAATGTTGAGTTTGAGGCGAGTTATAGGTTTAAGTGTTCAGGGATCGCGCCACTTGCGGCCATTGGGACTTCCTAGCTAACGCTTGCAACAGCGTAGCTCAGCTGGGTGATGAGCGATATACGATTTGATATATCATTTTGTAGAGAATTTCAAGATCTCATAATATTCTGATATTTTACAATAGTAATGTGTTACATATCAGTTTGTAGAGAATTTTAAGATCTACGTTTTCCATTTTGATTTCTTTGAAAATGTTGATTTTGAAGCAAACTATAAGTTCTCAACTAACTGAAGCTCAAAAGTCGTAGTAATTGGCTAATTACAAGGTTCTTATCAACCATTGATAATCAACGTTAGGAGTTATGTAATCACAATGTGTTATATATTAGTTTGTAGAGAATTTCAAGATCTACATTTTCCAATTTAAAACATTAGAAAATATAAAGTTTGAAGAAAATTATGGGTCCAAATGTGCAGTGATCTTGTAAGTAGGAGCCACCGAGGCATGTTGATTGCTGCAAGAAAAATGAACGGTTCTTAAAAGTGGTCATAATGAAACATCTAATTTTTGAGCTACAAAAATGCTCATTCTGCAATTTCGATCATTCAAAAATATTGATCATTCAAAAATGTCAAGTTTAAAGGGAAATAAACCAAAAATAGGATTCCCTTATATAGTTGCAAAGTTTTCCTCAATTTATCTCGTTTTCTATGACAGCTACCAGAAAAAAGTTAACTGAAAAAATATAAAGTATAAAAATCCACACTTTTTTTTAGTTTACCAATTTGTGATACCTCTTATAGGAACCAAGATAATTAAGCTCAAAGTTAGAGCCTAGGCATTGCGCACATATTTGCGCGCGCTTTCATGTTCAACCCAATTTATCTCGGTTTCTTTGAAAGATATAAAGAAGTTGTTAACTAACAAATTGTTTATCATAAAATCAGCAGCATTTTATCAGTTGACCACTTCTTGATACCTCTTACAGGAACCTAGATAAATTGGGCTAACTAAAACATGCGCGGGTAGTATTCGAATTGATTGGAATAATAATAATGGGAGATAAATGAATCATAATTACATGTAATACGTACGAGAATCGCCTCTCCCGAGAAAAGAGAAGAAGAAGAGGTAGTGGTGAAGAAGAAGAAGATGATGATTTGAAACGAGATATGAGAAGCCACCCCAGAAGACACATACATAACATTGGACCGACGGTATTAGAAGAAGAGAAAGGGATGTATAGAGAGAAGAAGAGAGAAAAAAGGGAGTGGAGGAAAAGGGGGCGGAGCCTTTATGGGTGTCCCCAAAAGGTGTCCGCTGCGCCCCTCTGTTTTTTGCTGTGTACTATGCCACACCGAAACTTTATGACTTTATGAGAGTGGTCATTTGGAGGAGAGAGTATTGGAAATTGAGGGACACAGAGATAATGGGTGTGAGTGCAAATGGTGTGGTTGGTATATGTAACTAGCAGGGGTAGGGGGTTACCTGGTACTGGTACTAGGGGGCTCCTGGGGCATGCGCCTTTAAAATTGGGCTTATTACCAAGAGTTGGGCTTTGCTATCCCTGGACATTTTGACCCATAACTTGTTTCAAAATTTACATTTTCACATTTTTTTAAATTGCGAAATGTAGATCTTGAAATTCTCTACAAATTGATATTTAACACAATATGCTGCGTCAAAGGAACTTCTTGAGCTACTCAGTAATATCACCATTTACTATGCTCTCATTTTAAGCTCAATTATCTCGGTTGTTATAAGAGATATCAAAAATTTGTCAACTAATAAAATGTGTAAATTTTTATAACAAACATTTTATCAGTTAATTACTTTTTGATAACTATCATACAAAACAAGATAAATTGCGTTATGAGTGGGATATCCCATTAGTGCCCATCCTATTTTCGGTCTAATAGTAAGCCCCTTCAAACTTGACATTTTTGGATGATCCAAATTGCAAAATGTAGGTTTTTAAAAGTTCAGCAAATAAGCTCTATTTTCTGTTACATTTTAATAACCATTGAGTTGTCTAGAAGCCATCAATATCTCGGTGGTGGGTCCTAAAAGCACAACTAACTGGATAATTGAACATTTGGATGCATAACTTGCTTCAAACTTTATATTTTTGAATGGTTTAAATTGAAACATGTAGATCATAAAATTTTCTATAAAATGATATACAATACTGTATTATCATACAAATTCTAAAATTGATAAGGAGCGTTTGAAAGTTGTCGTTACAACGATTTTTAAAACTTGGTTTGTTAAAGAGTTATAACTTGCTTCAAGCTTAACATTTTCCAAAAATTCAAAATGGAAAATGTAGATCTCGATACGATCTACAAAATTATATAAAACACTCTAAAATTACAGTACTCCTAACATTGAATATCAACGGTTGATAAGAGCCTCCATAATATGGCCATTACAACGATTTTCAAGGTTCCGTTCCTTAAATGTTTATAACTTTCCTGAAACTTGAAATTTTTGAAATTTTTAAAATGGAAAATGTAGATCGTAAAATTGTCTATAAAATGATATGTAACACATTGTGATTACAGTACTCCTAACGTTGATTATCAACAGTTGATAAGAACCTTGTCATTAGCCAATTACTACGACTTTCGAGCTTCAGTTAGTTGAGAACTTATAGCTTGCTTCAAAATCAACATTTTCAAAAACATCAAAATGGAAAATGTAGGTCTTAAAATGTTCTACAAAATGATATAAGAAATTACATGTTCTCTTTGCGCCCTGTTGAGCTACGCGGTTGCAAGCGTCAGCTAGGATTCCACCACTCACGCAAGGTGTCTGTTGAGGTCGCATACTTCGAGCTCAATCATCTTGGTTCCTAGAAAAGATATCAACTATCTGTCAACTGATAAAATGTTTATCATAATATCACCAACATTTTATCAGTTAACAGCTTTTCGATATCTGTAATGGGAGCCGAGATAATTGAGCTCAAAGTGAACGGGAGATTTTTGCACTAAAAATTGCACTAAAAATTCGAAAAAAAACCATTTCTTGGAATATTTATAGCTTCTTTTTCAAACCTTAAAAAACGCCAACTGCTCCTCTGGTTAGCTCCGGATAGCCGGAATGATTAATTGAGTGAGAAATTGTGCTCCTCAAAAAACCCATTAATGCTCTTCAAATTTTATTTGATTCAACCGCCATTAGAATTTGAAAAATCTAGAAAAAACTGCCATTTTTGGCAATTTTTCGGGGGAGAAAATTTAGGGTAAAAAGTCCCAATAAATCCCAAACATTAGTCATTTTGGGGAAATATGCCAAAAGTTATCAGAAGGGCGTCATTTAGGGGTGGGATGAATGTAATGAGGCAAGAAGATGGGGAAAAGAATAAGAAGAAGCTGTTATGCAGATCAGATCACGCATTCTGGATTCTGGAGAGAGGAGGAGAGACGCAGAGAAAGAAATAGAGGGATATAAAAAGCCTATTGATTAGATATGATATGGGTGTAGGTGTGGCAGAAATGGGGATGGGCAAGTAATGGGCAAGGGAAGGGCAAGAGCGGAAAAAAACGTTTTTCGGAATTTTTGACATCTAAATGTCAAGAAAAATTGCGGTAGAATGTAGGTCAAGAGGATGGATCAGCAGTTTTTGACTTTCTCTGCGTCTCTCACTCTCTCATTTCCTTTTTTGTCAAATCGAAAAACGGATGATTCAGTTGACTGGGAGGGCGTGTAAATTGATAAGATCCCCGTTGGAATTTGTGTACTTTCCCAAAAAAAAGGTTTTTATCGATAGAGCGCGTTTGCAAAAATAGAAAATTCAAATAATTCTGTCTATTAGAGCGCGTTTGCGATTTTCAGACGCACGAAAATTCAAATAAGTATCTTTGATCGGTATTAAAGCGCATTTAAACCTAAAAATTCGAAATGCGAGACGTTTGTTCGGTGGAGCGCAATTGCGCGGCGCCAAAATTACAAAAAAAATCGATAAAAATTATTGATTTTTTTTTGGAAAATTCTAAAATTTTGATTTTTGCTAACTTTCTTCGTCTAAATTGGTTTTTTTCCCACTTAAAATATGTGTTTTTGCCTGATAAACTATTTTAAGTAACGAAAAATCGAAAAAAGCAAATTTTCAAAAAAAAAAGGCGCCGCGCAACCGCGCTCCGCTGAACACAGAGCGCATTCACAGTAATAATTGAATTCGAAATAGAAAATGCAACCTTTACAAAACGAAAAAAGAACAATAAAAACCGCTATAACCTACTCAATCATCATTGGAAAACAAACCTTTTGTACTACAAGTGTATTCACAAAAAGACCTAGTATATTCTCCACTTAAAACAACATTTGAATGGAGGAGGACAAGGATTCCCATTTTCAAGTACTTTTACACCCTTTTAGGTTCTATTACTTTTCAAAACCCAACCCAACCAGGCCCCTCCCTCCCCCTCCCTCTCCTCTCAAAGCTTTGAAATCCCACACGCTCTTCTACGCCCGCACCCACTACCTAACATTTGAGCCCGCGTGGCGCAGGCGGCAACAGCGCTGCCTCTCAATCTCCAGGACGCGGGTTCGACTCCTATTCGCCCCTTTTTGCTTTTTTAAATAACCTATTTCCAGATACATCCCGCCCCTGGAAGGCTTCCAAACTGTCGAAAAATGGCTGGAAGAGGAGAAGAGTCAACAAAAAATACACGAGGAACTGCAAAAACAGCAATTCCTATTGGACTTGTTGCATTCGAAGGTATGTTAAAGGGTTTAGAAGAGAGAGAGAGAGGGAGGAGGAGGATGGATTAGAAGAAGAGGAAGACGAATGTTTGGGAAAGAAAAAAAGAAAAACGGGTTGTTTTACTATAGGCTCCGCCCACTTTTATTGTGTGTGATAGAGTGGTTTTTGTTATGATTTGTTGTAGGAAATAGGATTTTTCTTATTTTCAAAAATTGTAAAGTTCTTGATAATATGATATAAATGATCCTCGACACCTTCTTCTTCTCTGCGTCTCTCTCTCTTTTGGAAATTTCCGAAACCGTAATTAGCCGAAAATGGGTTTTCCCGCCGAAGGTCAAACTTATCGGATATGCAGATCTTCGAAATGGGAAAAATATTGAAATAACTTGGCACAGTGCCAAATGGTTTTATAAATTAAACTTGGCACGATGCCAAGTTTGAGCGCTTTCGGGAATTTTTTAATTTTGGATTTTCAGATTTTCCTGAAACTCTCATTTCAAATTTTCCTTTTTTCTTTTTCAGATCATGACCTAGATTTTTTTAGATCATGGCGTAGATTTTTTTAGGTCATGGCCTAGATGTTTTTAGGGCATGGTCTAGATTTTTTTGGCCATGACCTAGATTTTTTTTGGCCATGACCTAGTTTTTCCAGTTCATGACCGAGATTTTTCTAGGTCATGGCCTAGATTTTTATTAGGTCATGGCCTAGATTTTTCTAGGTCATGACCTAAATTTTTTTTAGGTCATGACCCAATTTTTCTAGGTCATGACCTAATATTTCTATTGTTTATTTTTCCAGATCAGTGCCCGCCACGAGCAAGGCAAATCCACTGGAAAACTAGACGAGAATGCGTGGCAGGTCCAGAACAGCATCACAGCGATCAAGAGGAAATTGAAGGTACAGTAGTCTGTGAGAACCTGCACATCTAACTTATGCAAGCTTCTAGAAGCCGTTTTTGCCAGAATTTTCTATTAAAAATTTTCCAGCAACTTCTGGACGCTCTGCCCCAAGTTGTACCGCTGAATCCGATTTCCGACACCTCCAGATGTATAGAAATGTACGAGGAGAAGCAATTGATGGCCACCCAGGGGATGCTAAGAGAAGATATCGCTGAAGAACGTCAGAAAATTGCGAAATTGTGCTGGAAATTGAGAAATTTCAAGGATTTTGACGAAAAAATCGAAAAATCCGAGGAAAAATCCGACGAATGGATGGAAAAGTGCAAATTGGAAGAGGCCGCCCGTTCGACACTTCTCGAAGAAATCACCCGCCTTCGATCGGAATGTGCTGATCTTCGTGCTCGGCTGGAAATGGAGTCTGCTTGTCTTTAAATAGTTTTTTTTTCAACTGAAAAATTCCCGAATTCTAGTCACAATTCGTCTTTTTTAACCCGATTTCTTTGCGAAAAATAATTTTTCTTAAATTTAAATTCAAATTTCTCTCGCTTCCCTCCATTTTTCTCCCCTGAGTCCAGTGGAGCGCGCTGGCATCACTTTCGAATTTCGCTTCATTTCCCGATTTTCCCATCACAAAACCAACGTCCCGGGCATAATTCTTCATGTCACTTTGATTTTTCCACCTTAAAATTGAATAAATTTTTCTTCTATTTTTGACAAATTGAAAATCCAAAATATTCCAGATTCCCCAGAAGTAATGGCCGATTTGTTCAGAAAACCAAAAAGGAAGATTCAGAAGCGAAAAATCGATCAGGATGAGGAGGAGATTGATGAACGTAAGAGTTTTGAAGCAGAAAACATAAGAAAATGGGATTTTTAGGCCCAAAAAACCGAATTTCCAATTTTTCAGAAGAATCCAATCGCGTCGCCGACATTCGAGACCTTCAGAGATCGAGAGAACGCAAAAATGGGCTCACCGAACTAGAGTGTGCCGTTGGAATTACGAAAGCCGCTGCTCTAGAAGACGGAATTCAAATGACAGGCGGTGGAATGATAATGACGGCGAAAAAGAAGGCGGCGATGGAAGCAGCCAGCATTGAGCACGGACTTCGAGACCAGTTTGAGAAGGAGACAATGTTGAGAGATGAGCACGAGGAGCTGAGGAAGTATATAGACGATGGGCTCACTCATTATACAAAGGACACATCGACACCGTCTCAGCCTAGAGGGGAAACGCCACAAGCTGCTTCGGCGTCTTCTAGATTCTCTTCTCTGAACGCCGATGATCGTGACGTGGAACTGCTGAAAGAGGCAGCTGGCAAGCTGAAGGCGAATCAGAGCAAAAAAGAAACCGAATTGCTGTCGGAGCACATGTTGGCTGGAATTCCAGAAGTGGACCTTGGAATCAGCACGCGTATTACGAATATTCTGGAGACGGAGAAGAAAAAGAGATTCTTGATGCAAAAATCGGCTGCCGAAGCTGCAGGACTACCCGTGCCCGTTGAGGAGACAGATGAGGGGAAGAAAAAGCATCATAGAAGGCGGAACTTTAATAATCGTCATCATCATCAATGATATTTTCTGTTTATTTGATTCAAAATTTAATAAATGCATAAATAATGATGTTTTCATTCGTTTATTCATCAGTTTTTAGTTCAATTTCAGGAGGGAAATCTGTAAAATTCGTTTTTAAAGACGTTAACCTGAAAAAAATCACATAATTTTCATTTTAAAAATTATTGATCCAGTTTTCACACAATTAAAATATTCGAAATTATCGAAAAATCACACCTTTCGCCCAAAAACTCGGAAAAAATTTTAGGTCATTTTCAGGCCAATTTTTCTAGGAAAATCTGAAGATTTCGCCGGAAAACTTGTAAAAAAATTCAATTTTCAGATTATTTTTTTTTAATATTTTATTCAGTTTCGACACACTTAAAACATGCAAAATCTTCGAAAACCCCGTTTTTTTCGCCGAAAAAACCGAAAAAAACGACCAAAATTCGTCGAGAAATCAAAGGCGCGCGGCGGCCGGTGGCCAAGGGGTCTCGACACGACAAGTTGGGTTACGGTAGCGCTTCGAATTTTAGGAGGATATTTTCGAAATTGATCTAGTTTTTGCTATTTTTTCGCCGATTTTCACCATTTTTTTTTGATTTTTTTCTTTTCGGGTCAAAAATTTGCGAAATTTTCAGATTTTTGTGAAAATTTCTGATAAATGCACGAGTTTCGTCAGTTTTTTCACAAAAATTGCCTGTTTCTGTTTCGAAAATGCAATTTTCCCTACAATTTTGCGTCATTTTCCAGGTTAATTGAAGAGAATGCCGTCGTGCACCACCCCAACCTTCGGTGTGTCGGCACAGCATGAGAACCCAAGCGTCGATTCACCATCTCGTTCGTCGATCCTCACCCCAACATCACTCGACGATGAGACCAGTCCACGGAAGAGTTTCCAGATTCTCGAGTCCAGTGTGAGCGCGGATCGTTGGCCAGCGCCACGGCGAGATGGCTGGAGCTCAGTGCGAGCACCACCACCAGCTCGTCTCTCCCTCCATCCTCAGAGAAACTTGATGTCGCCGATTTCAAGTGCTTACAGCCAGACGCCGAATTCGCTTCTCTCCCCGACCATGTTCCATCCAAAATCGCGGAGCATCTTTTCGCCAACGCTTCCGGCGACTCCCCTGAGTTATGGGAAGTCTTCAATGGACAAGAGCCTCTTCTCGCCAACGATCACCGAACCAGTTGAGGTTGAAGCCACCGTCGAGTATCTCGCCGATCTTGTCAAAGAGAAGAAACATCTTACACTCTTCCCACACATGTTCAACAACGTCGAACGTCTTCTGGATGATGGTAAGGAGCGATAATTTTATTGGTCGGTAATTGATTCCGCTCCGTTTCCAGAGATAGGACGAGTTCGTGTCGCTTTGTTTCAAACTGAGTTCCCACGTGTCGATCTTCCTGAGCCAGCTGGGGACATGGTCTCCATAACGGAAAAGATTTACGTTCCAAAGAACGAGTTCCCAGATGTAAGTAACGCTAATGGAGTCCTCTATCCTTTTCATCACATAATTTCAGTACAACTTCGTCGGCAGAATACTTGGACCACGTGGAATGACTGCTAAGCAACTCGAACAAGACACCGGATGCAAGATCATGGTCCGCGGAAAGGGGTCGATGAGAGATAAGGCCAAGGTTAGCTTTGAACACCCTTTAGTTCCCCCAAAATAATGTTCAGTCGTTCAAGGAAAGTGCCCATCGTGGGAAAGCCAATTGGGAGCATCTCGAAGACGATCTGCACGTGTTGGTGCAATGCGAGGACACCGAGAATCGTGTGCACCTCAAGCTGCAAGCCGCACTTGAGCAAGTCAAGAAGTTGCTAGTTCCAGCTGTAAGCGTGCAAATTTCCTCACTTCAAAATCCAATTTAATCGTTTTCAGCCAGAAGGAACTGACGAGTTGAAGAGAAAGCAGCTCATGGAGCTCGCCATCATCAATGGAACCTATCGTCCAATGAAATCTCCAAATCCAGCTCGCATGATGACTGCTGTCCCACTTCTCTCGGCTACTCCACTGCGCAGCCCAGGCCCAGTTCCAATGTCACCAACCCCAGGAGTCCCAATTAGCAGCTTCTCAGGATCCATTTTGGTCAGTTGTGTCTTAAATTGAACTATCCGTAACCTAAAATTTTCCAGAGCCCGACAATCGCTGGATCAAGTGGAATTCTCGGAAACAACATCTTCGACTACTCCCTGTTGACACCGAGCATGTTCGACTCGTTTAGCTCCCTCCAACTGGCTAGTGACCTGACGTTCCCGAACTATCCAACAACCACTTCGTTTGTCAATTCGTTCCCGGGACTCTTCACCTCTTCTTCATCGAACGTGACACCATCAGTCAACAGTACAAGCACCACTCAAGCTCAATCAGGAGGAGACAGTCCATCGGCTTCTTCGGTCAACAACACCTCTTTCTAGAACATAGCATAATTCTCACACCAACATTCTTCGTAGTTTTTGTTCTGTTAGTTCTTACTACTTTCAAATATACACAGTGCTAGCATAGAATCATGTACCATATATCGTGTATCCATCACCCCCTCCACCCTGTCCCTTTCCCTTGTTTTTTTCTTCCCTTTTTTTTGGTATCTGCCATCTCACATCCTTTAGGAATAGCATATACATACAAATGTAACAATTATGTCATGAGATCCCTTAATACCATTAATTCTTTTCTGTAATTTAAACTCGCCCCCCAATATATGCAATCATTCCCAGTATTATCCTTGTTTTCCTGTTGCAGGACATCAAAGTTTAATATAGGTTGAAGTCTACACAATCTCGACTTTCCCCCGTAATGGCCCTCTCCCACGTTTTTTCTGTGTTATCTCAACGCTAACCCTTGTAGAATCGTTACGTAGTTTGAGGATTATTCTCCAGAAAAATCACTCTAATATCCTTCATTTTTCCCACTTTTCAGTAGCTTGAGATTTTAATTATTCTTTTTTCATCTTTTCTCTTAACATTCTCTCCATGTTCAAATCTCACCCTTCTATATCTTTCCCATACCCTCCCCCTTTCCCGATCCAATCTGTCCATCATAAACTCCAGCGCGAATAGCGCTCTTATCCCCCAACCGTTTTTTCGTCAGCTCTTTTGACTACTACCCCCACTTTTTTGTTATCCTTTCAGACTCTCTGCCCGCGTGCGTGCTGTCTCCTGCCACCGTGGATTAGGATTAATAAAAAAGTTTTTATTGGCAATCTCCTTTTCTAATTATCTTAATTAAGTTTTTTTCTCTTTTTTGCTCTAAATGTTTCATGTCATCGGAGATGATTATTGTTACCTCAATTTTAAAAAATCTTTCATTTTATTATATTTTTCGTCCTGAAATCGCCCAAATACATCTGGATACGCGAGCCAAAGACGTGCCAAGCGCACTCGACATGCGTCAACCCATCGGGAAATGCGCCAACCTAATTTTCCACCTTTCTTGCCTTTTTCATCATCTCTTTCCAATTTTCAGAGAGGATGGTTGCCGTGTCATCTGTATGGACGTCGTTCCGACGTGGATTTCCGATCTACGCATGGCCGATTCTAGCAGCCACCATGATTTTTGTCGACTGGAATCACACAAGAGAGTGGAAAGCCGCGGGACGAGTGTCGCCGCTGCAGAAGGAGATTCTTGGCAAATAGAATAGCAAAAATAATAAATTATATAAACGAAATTTTAAATAAAGAAATTCTTTATTCATCTCTGATCCCGTTTTGAGTTCTACTGAGAGACGGCTGTCGAGGTTCTCATCGTCTGCAATTGCGCGGTACGTTGATTCTCCTCCTGATGATACTTTTGGTTGTGGCGAACCATCGGCGCGATGATCGAGTTGTGCGTGACCTCGACGATTTCGGTTCCAGTCAGCAGCTTGTTGTCGTAGGACGTCTTCAGAAGATGGGCGGCCGTTTTGATGAGATCCTTTGAAACCGTCGGGTTGCGATACGAGAAATAGGCGACGTGGAACAAGCTAACGGTGGCTTGGACGTAGGTGGTGATGGCGAGGAGGATGTAGGAGAAGGTGATCGTGGTGAACGCGGAGACCATTTTATCGTAGCTGACGCCAGATGGGATGGCGGTGGCGGTGCCTGAAAATTTGAACTTGTTGATTTCTGAAATTTTGAAAAAAACTCACTCAACGCGGTACGAGTCGACGCCTTTCCACGAGAACGGAGCGTCGAGTTGACGGCGGTGCGAAGCTCGGCGTCGGTGATTTGAGGTCCAGCACAGGCGGTACGGATCTCCGATTGTTGGGTTGTCGAGTCGACGGAAACGGCCATTTTTTCGAGTTCTTGAGGGACGAGACAAGAGAAGAGAGAGACGCACCAACGGTAGCTTTGAATATTGTGGATTCCCAGGGGGCTGGGGTGCCTTTTTTAGGGCGACAAGGATCAGAAGGGCGGTGCGGGTTCACGTTGAAACGTGAATTTCTAGGTCACTTAAAGATAAGTTTGCTTGTAAAATCGACAAGTTTTAGAAGGCAATCTAGTTTTAGGAGAATTTCTGAACCAGTATTTGAATTTTTTGATTTTAGGCAAAAATCAAAGAAAACCCAATTTTTTGCTCATTTTTTCACCAGAAAATGTCTATTCGCCGTTTTCCTCATCCAATTTGCTGTATTTTTCATGTTTTTCTCCCAATTCTAGCTCAAAACCACGTGGCGCCGACACTTGGCACTGTGCCAGCACCCAAACCTACACATCAAACTACTGTAGTGTGGATTTACGGGAGGTGGTGATCTGGAATTTTTCGGCGATTTTTTCGCGAAAATGGGGACTTTTTTGGCGGGAAAGCTTGGAAATTCAAAGGAAAAATAAATTTTAGTCATTTTTATCGGAATTAAGACTGAAAAATGACGAAAATCGAAAAAAACCCCTTTTTCTGATAATTTTCCAACAATTCTCGGTATTTAGTCACCTTTTCATCAAATTTCGTGAATTTATGTCATTTTTCATGGTTTTCCCCTCAAAAATCATTATTTTCCCCAATTCTAGCTGAAAACCACGTGGCACCGACACTTGGCATTGTGCCAGCACCCAAACCTACACATCAAACTACTGTAGTGTGGATTTACGGGAGGTGGCGAGCGGGAATTTTTTCGCGAAAATAGCGAATTTTCCGGCGGGGAAGCTTGGAAATTTGAAGGAAAATTAGATTTTATCCAACATTTTAGTTATTCTAATCAAAATTTAGGATGAAAACCCCTAATTTTTCAGGATTTCAAGCTGAATTTTTTTCTTTTTCGATTTCAGAGCGCAAACTTTGACCTCGATTGGATGTCCACTATGTTTTCTCGTCTGTCTTCTTATCACCCATCGTCCTCTTTCTCTCTAATTTCTCTTCCTCTCTTCTCTCTCTCTCTCTCTCTCTCTTTCCCCTGATCATCATCTCATTGTAGTGTGTGCCCGTTGTCCCATTATTTTTCTGTGTTTTCTCGATTTTTTCGGTTAATTGTGTTAAAAATTGATTAGAAAAGCGAATTTTTTCAGCCGGAAACCACCATGCTCTCCGCCAGAACCGTCCTCTCCCGTACCGCTCGTCTCAGCAATGTGAGGATTTTTTGAAACTTGTTGAATTTTAAATTGAATAAATATTAATAAAAATGCGAAAAATTGACGAATTTGCGTCTAAAAAAGCGATATTTTAACCTTCAAAGCTGTAAAATTCCTTTTTTCAGGCTCGTCTCAACAGCACGCTCGTCGTCGCCGAGCACGATGAGGCGAAACTGGCGCCAATCACTTTGAACGCGATCACCGCCGCTGGAAAGGTTGGAATCAAACGATCACTATGTGATCAGTGATCACTGATAAGGAAGCTATAGATAGGCATTTTTCAGCTCGGAAACGAAGTTTCGGTGCTTGTCACCGGTGCGAACGCCTCGAAAGTCGCCGAGCAAGTCGCCAAGGTCAACGGAGTGAAGCGAGTTTTGGTGGCCGAGGATGAGAAGCTCAAGAACAATTTGCCAGGTGAAAATGAGCGCTTTTGGAGCATTTTTGAGTCGAAAATCGCTGAGAAATCAGGATTGGACCCCCCAAAAAAGTCAATTTTAGGTCTAAAAATGTGCATTTTCTGCATATGCGAATCATTTTTTGACTCTTTTCAGTCATTTTTCAGCTATTTTCAGTCAAAAATTCGGCATTCGCAGTCAAGTTTTGGCCTTTCCCAGTTGATTTTTAGCTATTTTCAGTCGTATTTTTCAAATTTTCGACTTTTTAAAGTCATTTTTCGGTTATTTACTGTCGTTTGCAGTCGATTTCTGACATTTTTTTTCAGTAGTTTTAGAGCTATTTTCACTCAAAAATCCATAATTTTCAGTCAATTTTTGACCTTTCCCAGTCAATTGTGAGCCATTTTCAGTCAAAACTTCGTCGTTTCAGAAAATTTCAGGCAATTTTTAGCTATTTTCAGTCAAAAATCCGTAATTTTCAGCCAATTTTATACCTTTTCAGTCAGAAATTCGGCATTTTGCAGTGATTTTCAGCAAATTTTTCGACCTTTCCAGTGAAAAATCTGTCATTTTTCGACCCTTTTCAGTCAGTTTTCAGTTATTTTCAGTCGAAAATCCGTAATTTTCAGAAAATTTCAGGCAATTTTTCGACTTTTTCAGCTATTTTCAGTCGAAAATGCGTCATTTCCAGTAACATTTTCGACGTTTTACGTCAATTTTTAGTTATTTTCAGTCAAAAATCCGTAATTTTCAGTCAATTATCCAACCTTTTTCAGTCATGTTTCACTTAAAAATCCGTAATTTTCAGAAAATTTCAGGAAATTTACGACATTTTTTCAGTTATTTCCACTCAAATTTTCAAGTTATTTGACAATTTTCGGCTATTTTCAGTCAAAAATGCGTTATTTTAGTCAAATTTTCGACATTTTCCAGCTATTTTATTTTAGTCGAAAAAATCGTAATTTTCATCCAATTTTTCGACCTTTTCAGTGAAAAATCCATAATTTTCTGTCAATTTTCGACATTTTTCAGCTATTTTCAGGCGAAAATTCGTAATTTCCAGCCAAAAATCTGTGATTTTCAGTCAATTTTTCGACCTTTGCAATCCATCATTATCCGTTAATTTTCGTTCTTTTTCTGTCATTTTAAGCTGTTTTCAGGCGAAAATTCGTCATTTTCAGTCATAAATCTATCAATTTCAGTAATTTTAAAGCTATTTTCTGCCAATTCGAGCCTCTGAAATCTCTCCTCCTATTCTTCGATTTTCCTCCTATTCTTCGATTTTCAAATGATATTTTGCAGCGAAATTTGAGTTTTTTTTTCTCTAATTTCCACCTATAAGCAAGCTGTTTTTCACCCTCTAAAAATACCAAAGAATCATCAAAAAATCGATTTTCACGACTTCAAAACCACTGAATTCACAAAAATCTCTTCCAGAACGCGTCGCGCCAGTCGTCGTCGCCTCTCACAAGCAGTTCAACTTTACCGCCATCACCGCCGGCTCGTCAGCGTTCGGCCGTGGCGTGATCCCACGCGTCGCCGCGAAACTCGACGTCTCCTCGATTTCCGACGTCACTCAAGTGCATTCGGCGGACAGCTTCACGCGTACGATGTACGCTGGAAACGCTGTGAAGAAGGTGAAGAGCAGTGCGCCGATCAAGTTGCTCACATTCCGTGGAACCGCGTTCGAGCCAGCCAAGGAAGGAGGAAGTGGAGCTGTTGAGAAGGGTGAGGATCTTGGAATTCTATTGGTATTGGCGTTGCATTGACTGAAAAATACTATATGTAGAGGCATAATTAGGCTCAAATTCAGTTCAAAAATAGACAAGAAAACATAGCTGGCTCTAAATTAGCTCCAAACCAAGCTCCAAATGCTCAAAATTGGCTCCAAATTAGCTGGTTCTAGATCCTTGGCTAAAAACCCATAGAAAAAAATTGGCTAAAAACCCATAGAAATAGCCAGTTTCATACCTAATGAGCTGGAAACACTATTTTTATGACAAAAAGCTCAAATATTAGGTGCAAAAACGACTAGAAGCATATTTTTGAGCAAAAAAAAAACAACAATATTCCTTCCAGCTCCATCAACTGACATCGCCACCGACGCCAGCGAATTCCTCGGCCAGGAGCTGAGCAAATCGGAGCGTCCCGACCTCGCCACGGCCAAAGTCGTCGTTTCGGGAGGACGTGGTCTGAAGAGTGGCGACAACTTCAAGCTAATCTACGATCTTGCCGACAAGCTCGGAGCCGGAGTCGGAGCGTCTCGCGCCGCCGTCGATGCTGGCTACGTGCCGAACGACATGCAAGTGGGGCAGACGGGAAAGATTGTCGCGCCGGAACTCTACATTGCCATCGGAATCTCGGGAGCGATTCAGCATTTGGCTGGAATGAAGGACTCGAAGACGATCGTTGCGATTAACAAGGACGGCGATGCGCCGATCTTCCAGGTGAGAATTGGATTTTTTTTAACTTGAATGGGTAAAATTGGGTATGCGCCTTTAAAAATGGCGAAAAATTGCAAAAAATTAGAAAAAACCTCGAACAATCGCTCCGGAACCTTCTAGAAGGTTCTCGCATATTCGAATTCCCGCCAAAACTGAAAATTCTAGGCCACCTCTAGAAGAGGCTTTTGAAGCGGTTTATCTAGAAAAAATTGCAAAAATCGCTTCAAAACCTTTTTTAGAGGTGCCCTGGAATTTCTTCGGTTTGGCGGGAATTCGAATTTTCGAGAACCCTCTGAATCAAGTTTTGCGATTTTTTGCACACATTTTTATTGGATTCCAGGTGAGATTTGGATGGGTAAAATTGGGTATGCGCCTTTAAAAATGGCGAAAAATCGCAAAAAAATGATGGCAAAACCTCGAAATTCGCTTCAAAAGCCTCTGATAAAGGTGTCCTAGAATTTTCTAGTTTGGCGCTAATTCAAAAAAATTTCAAAAATTTTCTAGAAGTTTCCAAGAACGACCGAATCCTTTAAAGCGATTTTTCGAGGTTTTCTTATCAATTTTCTTGCACATTTTTCCCAACTTTTTCGGCACATTTTCCTCCTAAAACGACTACTGTAGACACAACTACAGTAATCCCAGAAGAATTACGGTAAATTGCTCATCATTTTCAGGTCGCCGACATTGGACTCAAGGCCGACCTCTTCAAGGCTGTCCCGGAGCTCACCGCCGCTCTTAAATAAATCATATTGCCATATTTGTGTCTTATCATAGCCAATGTAGACTTCTCCCCTATGTTCTAAATTATTCTTCCCCTTTCTCCAATTTTTTTTGTATTTGTCGGGATTATGTGATTTTTGCGGTGTTCCTTGTGAAATGATTTTTTGATTTTTCAATTTTTTTCTTGTCTTTTTGGACCGCTTGTAGGCTTTTTAAGGCTCTTTCAAAAGCTTTTTTTAGGAATTAGATTCAGAGATTCATATTTTACAAGGGGTATTTTCAGAGGACCATAAAAAGATGAGGAGGACAAAAGAAGAAAAACACTGGAAGGAACGACAAAATACGTGTAATAATGGGGGTTTTGGGACGACGAAAAAACCTCAAAAAAGCGAAAAAATGCAGAGAACGACAAAAAATACTGGGAAATTTTTAAAAATTTTGAATTTCGGAAAAAAAAATTAAATTAAACAAAATAAAAAAGTACCCGCGCTGCAATGAAATTGGGATGAGAAGAAACGAGAGAAAAGCGATTTTTCATAATTTTCAACTGAAAAAAAATGTGGGCGGGGCTTAGGGAGATCGATAGGTATAAAAATAGCCAAAAGTCAATAATTTTAAATAAGAAAAAAGTGGGCGGGGCTTCTTAGAAATCGATAATTTTCAGTTGAAAAACGGAGAGAGAGTGGGGGTTGAGAGGACCAGTATTTAGGAAAAAAAGGGGCGGAGCCAATATTCGAGTGATTTGAGGGGGGCGAAAATTCGGTAAAAAATGACTGAATTTTTTTCAAAAATTTAACAATCGAAAAAAAACATATGGCCGAGTGTTTGGGTTTTCTAGGCCACCATAACAGTTCGCTCTTTCTATCGACTTTTTGGATTTTGAGATCATTTTTAACGGGATTTTCAGGGTTTCTAGACCAATTTCAGCCGAATTTTCGCCTAAAATCACTCAAAAATCGTAAAAAAAAAACAAGAGAAAACAACTAGAAACAAGAGAAGAGAAAAAAATCGATAAAGTGACTATGCGACGGCGACCGTCGAATTCTCCTCTTGCTTGATCGAGGCGGCCGCCGTGGTGACTGCGGCAGCAGCAGCCACACCGTTCGTCTCCGGTTGCTCCGGCTCCTCGTCTTTGATCGTTAGCTCCGTGGTGGGGCGGGGCGAGTTGGTCGCCGACTGCGTCAGAGGGGTTCGTGTTCGTGACGCGGCTCCTGACGTGGACTGGTTGCGGGACGGCGTCGAGACGGCGACCGATGAGGCTGCGGCGGCGGCGGCCAGTTGTTGGAATTGCTGAAACTGCGAATGATGGTTAGAGAGCTTTTTTTTTTTAACTTTGAAGTGGTGGCCTAACTTTTGCAAGTTTGGTCTTCTAGGCCACGACCTCAAAACGACCTAAAAATACCCTAACATGACCCAGGTGTGCTTTCTAGGTCATTCTAAAGTGGTGGCCTAACTTTTGCAAAGTTGGTTTTCTAGGCCACCACTTCAAAATGACCTAGAAACCATACCATAGGCAATTTTAACGTGACTAAACTTGCAAAAGTTAGGCCATCACCTCTATTTTACAGTTTTTAGAGTGGGGCAAATTCAATTTTTTGGGTGTGGATTTCGAGCGAAAACGACCAAAAAGAGCACTGGTGGCCCAGTGGCCTAGAAAACCACCAAAAGGCCACCACGTTAAAATGGCTTATAAATGGCCTGCCATGACCCTGGTGTGTTTTCTAGGCCATTTTGAAGTGGTGGCCTAGAAAACCAAATTTGCAAAAGTTAGGCCATCACCTGGAACTCGGCCAGGCTATGTTTTTGGGACAATTCAGTTTTTGGAGTGTGGATTTCGAGCCAAAACGACCAAAAAGAGCGCTGGTGGCCTAGTGGCCTAGAAAACCCCCAAAAACTCGGCCAGGCAATATTTTCAGCCTTTTAAAGATATTTTAGGCAAAAATAAGCCTCTCCCCCGCCCTCCCCGCCTACCTGATACTGCTGCTGCATCGCCGCTGCCATACTATTCGGCGGCATCATTCCAGGCAGCCCGGCCATTCCAGGCGGCATGCCTCCCATCATCCCAGGCACCATCATCGGCATCCCTTGGAACATTTGCGAGTGCATCATGGCGGCTTGAGCGTGTGCCTGCACTTGTGCCGCCATCGCTTGCATCTGCATCTGCTGCATCATATTGATTCCGCCGCCGTTCGGCACGCCTCCTTTGCCTGTAATTTTTCGAAAAATTAAAAAGAGAAAGTTTGGTTCATTCGAAAATTCGAAAATTCAGAAATTACGAAATTCAGAAAATCGGAAATTTCGAAATTCCAGAAATTTAAAAATTCAAAAAACACCGAAATTCCGAAATTCCAGAAATTTAAAAATTCAAAAAACACCGAAATTCCGAAATTCCAGAAATTCAGAAATTCAGAAAATCGGAAATTCAGAAATTCCGAAATTTCAAAAATTCCGAAATTCCAGAAATTTAAAAATTCAAAAAATACCGAAATTCCAGAAATTCAGAAAACCAAAAATTCAGAAATTCAGAAAACCAAAAATTCAGAATTTCAGTAAATCGGAAATTCAGAAATTCCGAAAAATCAGAATTTTGGGATTTTTTTTTGTAAACTTTTCGTAAATTTGAATGTCAATTTTGGGTTTTTTTTGAACTTCCGATATTCGAAAATTCAAAAATTCGAAAATTCCAGAAATACCGAAATTCAGAAATTCCAGAAATTCAAAAAGGCAAAAATTCCGGAATTCAGAATTTCAGAAATTTCGAAAATCGGAAATTCCGAAATTCAGAAAATTGGAAATTTGGAAATCCAGAGGTTCAAAAATTCAAAATTTCGGGTGTTTTTTTCAAATTTCGACCTAAATTACCTGGTACGCCACGTGGCGATCCTTGTGTCATTGCGTTCAACATCGGATTTCTCATCATCATGTGCGGCTGCATCGCAGCGGCCATCATCTGGGGCATTTGAGCCATTTGGGGTCCGCCAGAGGCGGCTCCAGACTTGGCTATCAGCTGCTCAAACTCTCCTGCCAACTGACTCTGCTGATTCGGATCCGACAGCGTGCCCAGGAACTTCACAGCCAGCGCTTTCAGCCGTTCCGTCGTCTCGTGCGCCTTCTGAATGTCCGTTTGCACCTGTTGATCGTTGACTTGTTGAAGGGATAGTTGCAGCTGGGTCACTTCGTTTCGCGATCGTTCCAGCGCATCCTTGTTCGTCTGAAGTTGTCCCGAGACGCTCGCCATCTCCTTCTTGATGGCGTCGACGTGATCGGCCAATGACATTCCGCCGCTTGCTGAGCCACTTCGTTTCCTACTAATAGACACAAATTATGAAGTATTTTTTGGCTTAGAAATAATGCAATTTTTGGTGGCCTAGAATTTCTAAAATCCAATTTCTAGGCTAGAAATTCGTATTTTCATGAAAATGTGGCATAGAAATCAGTTTTTTAGGTGAGAATTCGATGAAATTGAGTCTTAAAACTTTTAAAATAGCCGGAAAACCCGAAAAAATCCATTAGAAAAGCCAAAAAATTCATGTTTTCTCGAAAAGTTCGATTCAAAAAGGCCAAAAATAGCTGGTGGCCTAGAAAACCCAAAAACTCGACCACATCATACTTTTTGGGTTTTTAAGTTTGAAAATTCGGTAAAATTGGGTGTTAAACCGGTCAAAATGAGCTAGAAAAGCAGAAAATGCAAACTTTTCTGCAAAAAATCGGCTAAAAAGACCAAAAAGACCGAATGGCCTAGAAAACCCCCAAAACTCGGCCAGCACCGTATTTTTGGGTTTTTAGTTAGGAAAATCTGTCTGAAATCGCTTAAAATAGCCCGAACAGCCGAAAAATGCCATAAACTCCTTTGAAAAAAGCCAAAACGACCTGGTGGCCTAGAAATCCTCCGAAACTCGGCCAGACCATATTCTTGGGTTTTTTGGTGGAAAACTTTCAGAAATTTTCGTCAAATTGGGATTCGAATGGGTCTAAATTGCCGGAAAAGCCGAAAAATGCAAACTTTTCTGCACAAAATCGGCTAAAAAGACCGAAAAAAGCCCAATGGCCTAGAAATCCCCCAAAACTCGGCCAGACTGTATTTTCAAAGTTTTGGGCTAGAAATTTAATTTTTTTTTTGGTAGTAAACTTGATGACAATCGTCTTAAATCAATCGAATTGAGCCGGAAAATCGGCAAAAAATGGTCGAGAAAAGAAAAACGATCTGGTGGCCTAGAAAACTCGAAAACTTAACCAGATCGTATTCTTGGGCCTTTTGTGAAGTTTTTATAGCTTAAAATCAAATTTTTGGGTCGTAAACAACTCTCGGGTACTGATTGCAAACCGGGATTTTGAGTAAAAAATCGGCTCAAACCCCATGGTGGCCTAGAAAACCAAAACAAGGCCATCTGACCCATTTTTCACGATTTTTCTAGAAAAAACTCACTTCTCCCGATTGGCACTGGAGCCTTGATGCGAGAAGTTGGGATTCGCGAATCTTCGTTGGTCCGACGTGATTGTAGGCGGGGATTGATCGACGCGAGGCGATCAATTTCGGTTTTGAATAAAAAAAATGGCTTCTTCTTTCTTAGTATCACTCTAAAAATTGTATCGAATTGAGCTCTGATTCTTTTTGTGTGGTGGTGTTGGCTGGAAAATAAGAGAAATTAGGCGGGAAATTTGAAAAAAAAACGGAAAATACTAGGAAAGAAGACAGACAGGAAATTGAGGAAATTGAATGAAAAAAGTGATGAAAACTGATTTTTTAGGTTGAAAATCACAAAAAATGCGGGAAAAAAATATCAAAAAGCGAAAAATTGACTTTCGTGGCGGGAATCAAAAAAGTTTAGAGCAGCTGCGCCTGTAAGGTTACTGTAATAAATTTTTGTCGACAAATCGGTGAAAATCCGAGTTTTTCTAGGGGAAAAAGAGCAATTTCGAAAAATTTCAAGGTTTTAAAAATAAATAAAAATGTCTTAAAACATTTTTAATCGAAAAAATCACAAAAAAATCCATTTTTACTGACAAACAAGGATTTCGTGTCGAAACTCAAAACATATTTTCAAGCGATGCGCCTTTAAGTTACTGTAGTTTTTGAAAAAAATTGGGCGGTGAAAAAATCTTTTTTTTAGAGGTGTTTTTTGGGTGAAAAAAACATAGAATTTAGTGAAATTTTCGGATTTTTAGGTTTCCAGAGTTGAAAAATCGATTTTTCAGCGATTTTTTAGCCAAAAAACTGGTTTGTTCCAAGATTTTTCGTAAAAAAAGATAAAAATCTATTTTGGCTTAAAATTAGCTAAAAATGGAATGTTCGCCTAGAATTTTCCTATTTTTCGGGCCTAAATTTACCAAAAAATGCAAAAAAAAGGAATTTTTTACATCAAAGTGTAGCTAATAAAAAATCTGAAAAAAACTCAAACTGAAATGGGGCAATATAAAATCGGGAAAAGATATAAAAGAGTGGAACGATAAAAAGAACAAAAAAAAGAATGGCGGCGGGGAGAGGAGAGGACCGCCGCCGGCGGATGATTTTATTTTTATTATGAGAGAGGAGGCAATAAAAATACGGTTAATAGGATTTTCAGTTAAAGGCGCATGGGGCGGGAACTTTCAAAAAAATGTTGTTAGTGAACTTTTGCGTCAAAGTGTTTGCGCCAGGCGCCCCCCGGCGTTCTTTTTCTCTCGTTTTTCAACGCTCCGGTGGTGGTGGCGCGACCAATTACCCGGGTGAGAGAGTGTAGAAATTGAAGAGACGCAGAGAAAAGACAAAGGGGGAACGGGGAAGGAAAAATGGCTTGGCTTGGGGCCCTCCTTTTCAGTAGGGCGCACATGGGAAGCAGTCATAAATAATAATAATGTCGAGAGGGTGTTAAGATTTTTTTTATTATCAGGGTGATAAGGAAAGAAAGAAATTGTTTGTTTAAGAAAAAATCGCTATTCGAATTTTTTTTGAAAAAAATAATTTCTGGACTTTTTTTTAGTTCTTAAAGGTGGTGTACGGTGAAATTTTTTATTGCATCAAAATGTGCAGAAATGCATGTAGATTGACATAAAAATAAAGAAAAAATTCAAAAAATTCCTTCATCGAAAATTACGCTCTCTTTCTAGGTCGCCCGGTGAGTAAAAGCGCGCGAATTCAAAAATTTTTTCGCTCGTTTTCACTGTTTTTTCAAATTTTCCGATGTATCTGGAAGAAAAATTGACAAAAGCCTAGAAAACTCTTGAAAAAACCGAAAAAAAAGTGAAAACGAGGGAAAAAATTTTACACTTTTCCCGATTTTATATTACCCAATTTCAGTTTGAGTTTTTTTCAGATTTTTTATTAGCTACACTTTAGAAAAAACCTCGTCCCTAAGGGCTTTCAGCGTATTTTTCGATTTTCTCTATGAAGGAATTTTTTTGAATTTTTTCTTTATTTTTATGTCAATCTACATGCATTTCTGCACATTTTGATGCAATAAAAAATTTCACCGTACACCACCTTTAAAGGTATTTCCAGTAATAGATTAGAAAGAAAGTTTTGACGGGAAAAACATAGTCTGAAAATAAAAAAAAATTTTGAATTCCCGCAAAATTTCTAGGTTTTCCGTTCAGCGGAGTGCGATTGCAAAAAGTCTTTTTTTGGAAAATTTTGTATAACCAATCGATTTTCAGAGAAATTTCAGCATTTTTCGAAAAATTTAAATTTTTAGAAAAAAAACTTTTTTTCGAATTTTTTTAAATTCTCAAAAAAATTGTTCTGAAAAGCTAATTTTCGCAAAATCGCAAAATCAAAAAATGTGCAAAAAAAAGTCGAAAAACTCGATAAAAATTGCTAAAAATCGATTTCTATCGGAACAAAATTTTAACAATTCTTAAAAATTCAAAAAATTAAAAATTCTGAAATTTTTTAAATTTTCGAAAAATGCCGAAGTTTCTGTCAATCGGTTTTTCGACATTATTTCTTTGCAATTTTGCAAATTTTTAAATTTTTTTCAAAAATTTCAAAATTTACAATTCTAAGATTTTGCTAAAATAAGTTTTTCAGTACATTTTTTTGAGAATTCCAAAAAAAAAATTTTCGAAAAAATGTTTTTTTTCTGAAAATGTATATTTTTCAACAGGAAATAACTAAGAAAATTGCTGAAAATCGATTTCTATCGGAACAAAATTTTCAAAGCAATCGCGCTCCACCGCAAAAAGTTTACTTTTTCACTAAAGAAGGTTTTGGCACTAGAGCGCACTTGCCACAGAACACCCCTTGTAAGGCCGTGGGAGCAATAAAAATGGGTCACGCAAGGTAGTGCTCCGACTGTGGCACTTCACAAAAATGAAAAGCCCCTTTTTTTGGATGGCGGAAAAGGCCCATAAAAATCCAGGGATAGGAGCTGGCTCAAATGCCAAAAATGGGGATATAGAAGCAGAAGACGTCGTCTGGTAGAGAATTCGATTAAAAACGATGGGTTTTATTTTTCGTCTTCTTCTTGGCATTTTGGCTGCCTCTTCTGGAACCATCAATTCCACCAAATGTCTTCTGAGAGCGGGGAGCCGAAATGACTCTGGTGTGAGACAAGGGGCTTTTTGATGGATTGAGAGGGGGGACCCGTTTAGAAAAATAACGAGAGTGAGAGATGGATTACAATTTGGTCCACTCTCTGTGTTGTGTCGACACTTTTTGAAAGAGATAGGAGAAAACGTGTGGTGAGTTTCGGCAGGTGTTTAGGAGGGGGACGGCTAATTGATGGGGTTTGGATTCTTAGATTCTTAGATTCTTAGATTCTTAGATTCTTAGATTCTTAGATTCTTAGATTCTTAGATTCTTAGATTCTTAGATTCTTAGATTCTTAGATTCTTAGATTCTTAGATTCTTAGATTCTTAGATTCTTAGATTCTTAGATTCTTAGATTCTTAGATTCTTAGATTCTTAGATTCTTAGATTCTTAGATTCTTAGATTCTTAGATTCTTAGATTCTTAGATTCTTAGATTCTTAGATTCTTAGATTCTTAGATTCTTAGATTCTTAGATTCTTAGTTTCTTAGATTCTTAGATTCTTAGATTCTTAGATTCTTAGATTCTTAGATTCTTAGATTCTTAGATTCTTAGATCTGGAGGATTTCTTAGATCTGGAGGACTTAGATCTGGAGGATAGAACCCTTCTAGAGCTTCCCGAGCAAAAAAACCAAAATCTTGGAAGATTTGGAAAGTTCTAGAAGCCTCTGAGATACTCCTCGTGTGTCTATGGGTTACGGTAGGCACACGAACACCGACCAGTGTACACCAAATCATATTCAGATTCTGGAACTTTCCAGAAACTTCTG